GTTCATCAGGGACCCATCGACAGTAGAAAAGTAGAAACTTGAGGCGAAAATAATGAAAAAAAACGGCTGTTACGGCCCGACCTGATTTCAGGTCGGTAAAATATGGTAACTCGCATAGGATGGAACTGTAGCTCCCTGGTTTCGCGTTAACACCACGACGAACAAAATAACCGACAGCGAAACCAAGCGAGCTACAGAACTGCAGCTAATGGAAATCGTCTTTCCAATTTGATCCAGTGCGACGTTGTGAAAGGAGCGACTCTATCGTCTCATCTATGTCTAGTTTGTAAGAGAAAGATTGATAGCGCAGAAAAATCCGCCAATAATGTAAAACAGTGGCGTGAAATTGTCAGTCATTCTAATATCTCCCAACCTGTGAACGAAAGTGTTAAGCGTGCTGCCTTGAAATCGCCTGCCAAAACTAAAATGGCGCGTGTCACGTGACTTTGTTTACTAAAGATAGCGTGGGCGTTTGATTGACACTCAACTCATTAGTATTCCACCAATCACAGCTACATCTACTTTCTGGATGTGCGCAGTCAAATTGTATAGGAGACAAGCTGGAGTCTCGTGTGGCGATAGCGATAACACCGGGACGAATGGTCTGGGGTATTGCGAATCATGTAAATCTTTTGATGTTTTCGTTATACAGTGTATATTTTCCCTGATAACTACATTCCGTTTAAGTAAATCCATGTGAACATGTTCCTGGCAAATTCGCCGTGAACTTAAAGGGCGGCAGTCGCCGTGTCGCGTCCTGTTAGATATGGGACTCATAGCGACGTATACAACGCGCGTGAAATACATTGTTTATTTACATGAAATTCGAACACGCGCTTTAAAACCAAGTGAGATGAAATGTCAGTGAAAATTATATAGTTTTATAGTACACCATTGCGTGTATATAATTATGAAATACAAAGCATCGTAACGTAAGAATACGCTTTTCGGGCGCCCTCTGGCGACGAATCGCTTGATTGACGTTAAAATTACGATAATGAGTGAAAGCAATAGTAATAGTCTACTTTCTCGGTGTTAGCGAGACTGGGCTACAGGAAGATGCTTGTTTTTGTCATAGCAGCAAATACAAACATGTCAACATGCTGATATTTGGTAAAGGGAAATTTTGTTTTTGTGACGTCGATTGGTAGGTCCACCGCGACGAGCACAGTATCACGCGCGCATGTTTACGTTGCATCATATATGCGCGCGCATGAAAAACGCCGTATATTCGACTTCCGGGAAAGTGGTCAATACAAAACTGTGTTCGGTTGTGGTTGTTATTTAGAATATAGCAAATCTACCAAAGACATTCTCTTTTTTCAACAGACGACTGCAGATCAACAAAATAACCGCGATGGGACGGTCTTCTCGTCAACCATCTATTCATGCCTGTGAAGCGCGTCGTCACAAGGCGCGATTTAAAACGAGATGTATTTACACCTCGTGAATGTTTGTACTTACCTAATCCTGGCATGCAGTCTAAAATGTCACCACATTCATCGTTTTCCACACACCCACGAAAGTACAGCTCCAATTGATCGTCATCTTCGTCACCAATGACCACGTGACCAACCTGTTTAAATAAATACTCATTGAAATATATATATATATATATGCGTGTGTTAATAATAATAATAATAATAATAATAATAATAATAATAATAATAATAATGAGGAGGAAGAGCAGTATGTGGCTATATCAAGAAAAGATACCTGTCTGATCGTATACTATATTTACTCACCCCACACCTAGGATCGGTAAATCCAGTGCATGTCATCTCTGTACCGGTCACGTTAGCGTAACATGCATCGTCGGGGCTATCGCTGTAACAATAATAACATTCCAGCGCATAGAGTGGGCACGCCATTGCTGAAATTAACAAACAACACAGGTACACGTAGTTTACTACGACGTCCCTGGAGATGACAGTGAACGTCCAACATCTCCATTCTATGTCGTAAGGTTCGCCCTTCAAATCAAGTTGGTTGTGGTTATAATGGGAACCCTATTTTTACATGAGCCAAAGCATATATACAAGACAACATTTGATACGTCGAAGAAAACTGTTAACAAAGAAGCTGCTCTCTGATTGGTGTGTCTGTTAGCGTTGGGTAGCCAATCAGACAAATCTCGTAAGTGGCTTTGCATCGACTTACATCATGGGCTGATTGGTTATGTTTCATAAATAAAGACTTACCCAAGATAATCAGTATGACGTATTTCATTGTGATGGGACAAACTCGGATTCAGTACGGTAAACTAGAAAACGAAGAATACACGTGATTATAAATACCGGTACGTTCGATACACGTGGCTAAATGAGTTGTCCCGTGTATCGGGCGTCTCTAAGATGAGATACGTTCACAGAATATATATACTGGCCCCCAGCAGCCTTACTTTTGATATTGTCCTCTACTTGGATGTAAATTGTAGTTGAAAAACCTTTATGTTAGGAAGCTTCCGTACGATACAGCCATCCGATTACACATTTCAATATCTCTGTACTTAGAGTGTGGGGGTATTTTGAAAAGCAGTATTTATAATAGACTTGCATACAGTCTCATGTCTGCCGCCGCATAATATTTTATTTCATTGTAAAAACACAAAAAAACAACAAGATACTGTATGCAAATCTATATTTATATTTTAATACCAATATTGCTTTGAGCACACGCTAATTCCGGCGTTACCCGACAAAGTATCCACATTTTGGGAATGGAAACGCCTAAGACTGGCCACGCATCGCCCCAAAATAAATAAGAAGTTATCTAGCAGTCTCCACATTTAGCTTTGGTTCTTTGTTGAAAACGAGTAAAATATCGCCAATCGGAACAGATACAATGATTCAGACCATCAGATGTTTCTCGTAATAGTCCTTACCCCCTACTAATAAAACTTAAGGAATTATAAAACTGGTACATGGGATAAAAATGACATACTGGGAAATAACACCGACGTTTTAAACCACTCCAAACTACGGTTGAAATAGAAAAATGCTGTCATTGAGAGGAAGTTAAAAATCGTACCTTTGAGTCGCTGATAGTTGTTACTCCCCGGGCTACGGTAGTGAAGTGATGGAAGTTATTTGCAAACAACGTTTATATAAACGATATTTGTTAACAATAAAGACAGTTGTCATGTAGATGATTTGATTCTGATTTGAATATTATCATGACTACAGAGATTACAAACAATCTACGTTTTGTCGAAAATAAGTGGTTACGAAGGTTACCCAGAGGACACCAAGCCATGTCATGTCCTAACGAATTCTACACTGACCTATCGTTGAACTGTTGTTTGGTCACTGCTTAATTACGTTTTGTATATGCTTCTTTCCGTCCATTGTATACAAATAATTTCAATTGAAGTAAAGTATAAAACGAAGTTGAATTTTGTGGGCGGATTTCGTTTGTTTGGTAAATTATGTTTTGACCGGGCTGACTGAAACATGGCACCTGTCGTTCACGTATACACACCACCATGTGTTATCGAAGATTCGGTAGCCCTATTGGGGACAGGTCTTTTATTACCAATGGGGAAGGAGCCGGGGGGGGGGTTGTTGGGGGAAGGTCGTTCGTTCTCATGCCCATGTTTTAGAGAGGTTGGCATTGTAATGCCTGTCTTCAGGCAGAATCATGCTTTTTTAATTCCCAAGATAAAAGGGTATACAATTCTTGCTTGACATTAATATATTGCTTTATTAGCCAGCACTTATGCTCAACAACACTATTGTGCCTACGTATGGAAATTTATGATGGTAATGTTGACGATGAAGGGAATGAGGAGAGGATGGTGATGAAGATAACCTATTATCGACAAGATTGGGTAGAATCACCAATAAAAATCGTTCACTATGTGTCTTTAAGGTAGTTAATCTTAACGTTCAGTACACACGTTTCTAAAAGGTTCCATACACCATCTATATGTAGATTTCAATGCAGTATGAGACTGGAAGTGCACACAATGACAACGATATTGTAATCACACGGAGACAGAGAAAGTATCACCATATCATAAAAGAAAATTAACGCAAGTTTGCTTGAAACTTTGTTTGAATCTCAAAATGAATATGACCTGCGTTTATAACTCAGTATGTGTGATCCTGACACCAAGTCCTGTTCTTCTGCAAGAAAATATGACGCAGGGCAATAATAACTACCATGATGCAACATTTTAATTATCTGTGCAAACCGGTTCCTGACACGTATCTAAATATAGCAAAGTTGAGAACCAAAATGGCAACCAGTCGGGTATATTTTATCAAAAATTTTAAAAAAAATGATGTACATATGCAAGTTATTATAAATGGTCATTTTGTTTGAACATGACCCGTTAACGCACATCTGAGAAATGGCTCTAGGCGAACGAACGGACGCTGACGGAGCCCAAATCAGTAGTCCATGATTTCGGAGACGGAACTGACTAACACTGATTATGTTTCAGCTTGATATTGGGCAGGCTCACCAATGTTTACTACTTTGAATGAAGGGTCATAATTTCAGACCGACTTGAAATCTCTCCGCTCCTGGTAAAAAACAAACGCCCGCCCCCTGTTTACGATAAAATACCCTAGTTAAATTCACACAGGCGAACATATTTTGTGTTTGTTTCTTTTTTTTTGAATGAACGAGTATCAATGTATCTGTGCATGTGCAATCCAATTCAACCATTGAGATCAGATCGACTGGTTTTACGATTAGTCTTATTGCGTTGATCTTAGCAACGCAATTTCAAACACCTTCAATGTACAAAAAAATTTATTCATTGTTAATGCTTCTCTGTTTAGCAGCAATACGTTATTGACTCACGCGAAAATTGTGCCTGTGTGATTGGCTACCCAACCCTAACAACTGTCTGGCCAATCAGCGACAAGCTCGTTTGTTGACATTTTTTTTTTCGACGAAACGAATTCTGCTTGTATGCTAGGCTTGTACATGGCACAACCTACTCGTATGTTTTATTTAATTAATATATTATTTACGTTGTCGTGTAAGCGACATTATTCCTATTTGGGATTCTTTACTCCATGCAGTAGCTGTATAGTCTGGCATTCTGCACTAATTACCTATATTATTTCTAAAATAAAATGCCGAATGTGTACCATGAATACATTGCCGTTTTGTTGAGTAAAATATCTCAAAATAGTATCAGTCCTTATCGAAAATATTAAGAAAAAAAATGAAAAAGGGAAATAGTGAGAAAACCTCGTGAATGAACATCAACTTTTGAAAGTTTATGAATTTTTCCTAAAATATAGAAAACATGTTTAATAATAATAACACATAACTTGTCAAAACCTTAGGTAAACAAGCCCAGACGACAGACTGACTATCGATCCACCCACCACCCCATCCCTGGAATTCGAAATTCAACTGTAGAACCGCGAGTGGACCATAGACCCTCTGTTAGAGGGTCTATGAGTGGACCCATTAGTAAATTGACTGTCATTGCAATACAAGATATTAAACATACCATTAGTTGGATTTTGAGAGGTAAACATAGTTGTTGACATTTCTCTGACCCCTATCTGGTCATGTACAATTGCGTACTAGTATATACACAGAATAGTAGTCGAATTATTGTGTGAGAAGTACCTGTCAATGTCACGTTAACGTCATGGAGTTTAACGAGGTTGTCGGGTATTGCCAATGGCAACTATTCACCTTGCACTGAAGAGAGGGACGGGTGTGGTTATATAAGCTGGTAATTTGACTATGATATAGAAAAGATAACCTGTACTGAGCCCGTGTATGTTGAGATTATTCGGGACAGTTTAAAATCTGATGTCATTTTCGTTTTGTTATCAAACGACAGTAATGACCTTCGCTTTCAGTACCAGTAGTATTGTCTAGTACATCACGTTCCAACTTGTCTTCAACTTTCTTTCAATCATACTAGGCGAGCAATTCTGGTATAGATTACTCATAAATAAAAGATCCTAAAGTAGGCCAACATAAAATCATTTGCAAATACTAGCTGCTGACTCTGCTAAAACATGTATTTTTTGTTGTTTTTTTTTGTCAATGATTGATTCACTAATTTCACACAATTAAATCTTATGACGTATTTGCGGTGATGCGTTAATTAATCGTAACCACAGTCGCTTCCCGAGCATCTTGAAGCAGAACAAGAAACGAATAGCCGTGTGTATGTGATCGATCCTGACATGACCTGGATATACACTGGCACGCCCGTACGACAGAATCCACAAGTCCCCATTTTCGGACCGCGGTCACGGTTTCGGACGTGCTCTTGTCTGATTTGCATATCAATGGCAAGTTTTCCTAATTTAAATGACTACACAATCCATTATACCATAGACCCTCTAACAGATTAGAGGGTCTATGATTATACCTTGCATATCACAATTTCAATGATCTCTGCATTTGCTACGATTATTCATTATAATTCATGTAAAATACACAGGCAATCAAACAAAGGCTTTCGTTAGGTTAGACAGAATGTTATACATGTTCCACTGAAAATAATGATCTGATATTTTTACAAAATGACGAAGGAAATGCATGGATTAAAAAAGCAGAAGCCTCGTTCAAAATAGGTGCTATTATTGGACATTGTATGTTTTATTATACACAATTAATCAATGAAGTGTCACGTGACTTATGAAATCCACCAATGATTGATGCACTGTTTACCAAACGAGTCCATTATTTGAACATTAAAAAAAATATAATCTTGTTCAACTTGTTTTGAAGCGTGTTTGCATTCGTGTAGCTCTTCATTCGAGCCTGGTCACGAGTCTGGGGAACGCGATGAACAAAGCTGAGATGGTGAACATGTGTTTATGGTTTATATATATATGGTGGCTTTACGTTAATTAATATTGATGAAAAACCACGGCAATACATTTGCATAGATTAATCTGGTGATCGATTTTCGATACCAGAGTCGGAAGTGTCTTGTGCAATAGCGATGTTATTAAACTGGGTTCGCAAAACAAGCATTCACACATGGCCGCGAGACATTATGAATCATACTAGTCACATCCGGGTCAGTGTAAAATAATGGTTTTGTATTACTGGACGAAGCGTACTCGACCGTCAACGACGAGTTTACTGCGTGGACGTTCTCAATTCGGCGATCTCCGACCTCAAAACAAACTTGAAAGGAACTGAACGTTCAGTTTTACCAATGAAAAAAACACATAAAAGAGCGCCCGAGTCAAATTCACTGTCCATTGTTTTAGTTCCGCAGTGTTTTTTGAACAATCCGGAAAAAAGACAATTTCATTCGAATTTTAAAGGTAAGGTGTTTATCACTGTCACGTCTGTCTTACTGGGAATATGCGTTGTTCTTAAAAATGCAGAGTTTTGTGTAATTTGCTGTATAATGACAATATTTTCACCTGCTGGTGGCGCACGCATTGTAGTCGAGTGAGACATGGCGTGAAAGTAAGGAAAAGCGAAGTGAATATATCACGCGCGGAATCGCACGGTTCCGCTAAACGGTTTCATAACCGGCCCACGAACCCGTGCGTGATCGTGTTAGGAAAAGCTGTATTTCACTGCAGTTAAATTGAGTCATTTGATTGGGCGCGCCAAGGAGCTGGCGTCACCAATCAGCGTTACTGTATCATAAATGTGAACGTCTGGGGTCACCACAGATAAAAACAATGGCGGCATGTAGGCTTTGCGCTGATTCACCGGGAGTCAGTGACACGTTTCCAAAAAAAATTATTCCAACGTTGAAAATTGTTTGTAGACAAGTGAATGAAGACTATGGAATGTTTACATATTTGTGCAAACCGTGTTTTAGTAAACTGACAAAACAAATAACATATCGACTTTCCCTTAGGTACAGCAGTAAGTTTTTTAAGCCCGCGATTATACATGCATCTATCACATTAGCTGTACGCAGTCTGGTTGGTTATATAAACCGAGTAGCAATGGACAAAACGTTAACTGGGAAAATGGAGTAACGCCAACACCGAACAGTTTTTGGTTTAGAATCACCGATGGCTACAGGCGTGAGGGGATTCGGGAAAATACATTTCAATTCATTATATATTTCTGATTCAAATATTTTATTGCTTAAAACGATATTGATAATTAAATATCACTCACTGGACTTGCATTATTAAGATTTAAGTTCTTGAACAAGTTTTGAATTAAGTACTAACAGTCATTCAGCTACACGTAGTTCGCGGATACTTCCTCATACGATTCTTTACAGCAAGTATATATGCCTGCCATTTTTGAACGTTATACAACAACTTACATTATTTATGTATCTTTTTGGTAATACACATTTACTCGTTAATTATACGACTTTTTTTGTTGTATGTTATAATTACTGTGCAATAGTGCAAATTGGTAGATGGCGAAACTCACCGTTTGATATAATTTGCTGACTTCCCAAACTAGTAATGATTTTTGTTACCATGTTCATCGGGGGGAAACTAAATTTTAAAATGCGTCTTTTCAATATTCAGATTGCGTTTTGCGTGAAATAGCTTTTTACGTGAAAGTGTTGCGATGATAAATACCTCATTAAAACACGTCTTCGGTTGGGACACTATTCCACGTGTCGTAATCAAACACATTTCAAATTGTGTGTCCAGTGAAATCACTTTTAAAAGTGATGTGATAGTAAGCACTTTTCAATACGTGTTTCTGTTTATGCAAAACATTCCCGAAATGCTGCAATCAAAAACACTTATTACAAGGGGTTTTATCATAGGCACTTTTCGTAATTATGCAGAGGTGTTTTTAAAGTTGGAACAAGCATGTAAACACTTTAAATGTTTTACCCCAAAACAGAGAACATTTTTGTCTTAAAACATTGTAATATAACCATTTGCGATTTTGAGAAAAACACTTAATGTGTTTAATTATAGGACTTAAAGTGATGTTAAAGTGGAGACAACAATGTGTCATATTTCAAAACACTTAGATTTACAGTATATATGCACTCGTGTGTTGTAAACCTGATGGCGTTCTTCGCTTTCTTGTACTTGTATTGTTGTTGCTATTAATTTACTGCTTATTTTTTTTGTTAGGTGCAGAAAAAACTACTTGACCGATTCGACATTGTATTCGGTACCAATATCTCATTCTACACATTTCTCTAAGTCTGTGTCAGACGAAAAAGGTCGGTTACCATTTGGAATTTACCGAAATTGTGAAGCCATTTTAAAGTACCTTCACCGCCAAGTAAATTGAGTTCAAATATTGACGATATACATAGGAGATGCCTACATTCTAAATATTTTAACTGGATCCGGTTTTTTCGACCACTAATTAGAAATTGAATTATAAAAAAAGTTAAAATTTGGAAAGTGTTGTACCTAGAGAACTTTATTACTTAATTGGCTGATATTTAGTGTAAGTCTACCAACAAGTAGGGTTGTCATATTGTGAGAAGGATTAGACTAAAAGTTTCAAATAAAATATTTTTAGAATAAATATAATTCGTACAAATTATGAAAGAATAAATATAAACTGCAACATACCAGGTATGATACAATACAGTTAAATAAACCGTGTAACGTATTAGTTACGAGAGAATAGGTACAAATAAACTGTAACATACCAGGTACGAGTTTTACATTGATGAATGTTGACCAGTGGCAGTGCGATGCTGCACTCGAGGTTTAAGTGTTTATGGCGTTATGGTTTTTTAAATTTATTTACAATGACCGAGGTCCCCCTAGTGATAATCCATGAACATGATATACCAAGATGGAGTTACAGCGTGACTGTGCGATCAACTGCAGACATTAGCTGCGACAACACAACCTCTTCCGCACTTTGTTGCAAACAAATCCCAGTGTATAATGAATGGGCAATACATTAATAATTGTCTCTTCAGCTTATGATTCGTTATTTGGCATTCCAGACACAAATATTCAGCAATAGTGGTGGAGAGGGGTCTTATGTACGAACTTACCAATTATTCCTGTCTATCAAAAATTCACCGAAAACCACTAATGATATGCATGTACAAGTAATTTATGGCATGATAAAACTACACAACACTCCGTTCACCTCGCTAATCTAAGCTACATTTTAGAAGAGTTTTAGCACACAGCTGAAGCAGAATTCGAACACCAATGCGTGACTGAATTTATTGCAGTGAAAACGATGACTTGGATGTTTATGGCGCAACTTTCCGGTTATTGAAAATAAAGACGTTTAGTCAGTCGATACTAAATTATGGTTTCCCGATACGTTCCTTAGTTCAAAAACGATTTTCACGTTGATGCACAGGTGACGTAGCTGGCGACAGTAATTTTATGTATCTTTCATATCATAGACGTATTTGGAACGGTGGAACGGGCTGAGTGATCAGCGAATAATTCACTGGCTAGCAAGTACACATTGAAACCCACTATAGGTGTACTAGTCTACAAGTAAACCGAGCCAGGTTAGATCGTACTAAATGCATACAAAAAAGCACGCCTTAAAGAAGTTTTGATTCAAAACGAAAACGTTCGAAAATGCAAGGACGTGTCAGCCAAAAAGTTTATAAATAATGAAATGTAGACATTGTATTTCAGCCCATATATTTTAATACAACAAATGGTACGTGTAATTAATATGTTACATTACCCGAGAGTCAATAGTAATCTCGTTGCGGTTACATTGTCCAGGAACTAAACGGCACTAGTTATGGATGAACCCCACAGTCTTCGCAGTGAGTGGCATAACTACAGACGTTATAGAGGCTACCGAGACCACCATCGTCACATTCCCAATCCCATGCATGAATGCAAGTATTTGTACACCGCAGAGGTCGCAGTCCACAGTCAGCACAGTCTGTGCCGTATCCACAAATTGAATATTGGCTACCTGGCCCACCATCATCGCATTCGTCGTCTCGGTGATGCTCACATTCGTTAGTGCAGACTTAATGCACTTCGCAACCCACAATCTTCGCAGTCTGTACCAGCCGAACACAGCGAATTGAGACTACCTGGACCACCATCATCGCATTCATCATCATATGGGCAATCACATTCATTCAAGCATACATACGATCGCGATCCACAATCCGAGCAGTCAGTACCATATTCACAATACCAATACAAACTTGATAGACCACCATCGTCACATTCATCATCGTACGAAGAATCGCAGTCATTCGTACACTTATCGTAAGCGGAACAGCCCTCTGCAAACAAAAACAGATATTAATGTCAATTAACTACTCTACACCTACGATTATTCAGTATCGTTTCCGATACAACTCACCCAGTATTGGGCCAATTGTCATTGTCGTGCCCCCCCCCCAAGTTATTCTCAATTACAACGAAAAGCACACATGAATATGTACTTCATCCACGAGAATGTCCTAATGTCATCTTACCGCAGTATTGTAAATAATTTTCTAAGTAGGGTTAACAATATTTATCAGTTTTATATCGCGCATTGGTAGTAGAAATTGTTTTAACGCTCGTTCATCTGCAAAGAATCGTACACCGCATCGGGTATACTTGGCTAATAAATTCGTAGTACACGATGGAGCACCTGTCTTGCACATGTTGACGGTCAGGTATTAACCGACAAAGGAGCCAACACTAAGGCCCAAGGAAAAACTGGGCCATCTACGACTGCAGTGCATTAATCTTTACTTTCATTCCGGCCAAACACTCGTGGGTAAGGGAAACAATATTATAGTTCGAAAATTGACAATAGAGCACAAAAAGTGACACTTTCCAAAACGCCATTTACAATTGCTGTCGCGATAATTATACGAGTAAATATATTACTGCTTACCCATCACGTTTTTCAGCCTACTTGGACAATCACCAGCTGTCGATGCAATCTCATATCTTTGGTCGTCCTTGTTTTCGTCCGCTTCAGCCTCTCCCACGTTTTGCACAGCCTCTCCCACGTTTTCCACAGCTTCGCCCACGTTTTGCACAGCTTCGCCCACGTTTTACACAGCTTCGCCCACGTTTTACACAGCTTCGCCCACGTTATCCACGGCCTCTCCCACGTTTTGCTCTGCCTAGCCCACGTTTTCAACAGCCTCGCCCATGTTTTCAACAGCCTCGCCCACGTTTTCCACAGCTTCGCCCACGTTTTGCTCTGCCTCGCCCACGTGTTGCTCAGCCTGCCCCACTAATTCCACAGCCTCGTTCAAGTTTTCTACAGCCTCCTTCACGTCAGCTTCTGGTTTGCCAGCATTGGCCTGTTAGCCATATTGTTGGGAAGCCAGTTTTTGCTTCCAATTTCTGGGAATTCCATTGGGAAATGCGTCTACCACAATAGACATGGCGACCACCACCATAAGCAACCGATATAACCGCATTATCTGAAAATGAAATTGCAAACGATTACAAATAAATATTGCACAAATTCAAATCAGTAAGGAATTTTCGATTGTCACTGGAAAGTAGTTTTTATGCGTAATAGGGCAATATAACATTTCAACTAGCCTTAATCTGATTTCCAACACAAACAAGAGAGAGGGCTGAGAGAAGTGAAACAAACGACACTGATAGGAACGCCTTTTATAGGTTCCAACTGCTGTTATTGTATTGTTTTCGACATCTTACTTTCTATTGGCTGCTGTGAATTTTATAAACGTTTTAATTGGCCATCACACTTAGCCACCTGGAATGCAGAATGACTTGCCAAACTATTGAAATGCAGATGTTCCTAACGGGTTCATTGTGTCGATAAATACAGTGGAGAAAATCAAATTGAAATAATATGTCAAAAGAATAAATACATCAATGATATATTGAACAGTTTGAAAATATAAACATATGTTTAAAATCCCGAATAGATATATCGAGTGCATTGAGTTATAGACTATGATATCAGTAAGCACGTTAAAGTTTAATTGCCACATACTAAATTGCACTTCACTGATCTTTGGTCATCTAGAAGCTACCTTACAAATGTCTTGCATCTAATTTGAAGTCGTTATTAAGACTGAGTCCGAAACCACTTTCTGCTGACCCCCCCCCCCCGTGCTCTAATGTATAGTATCTTGTCATAACTCTTCCATCGACATGAAATATTCTAAACGTATTCGAAAGTCTCAATTTTTAATAATTTTGCAAAAAATTTAACCTAAAAATTTAAATAAATCCCGTGTTTGAATTCTGCTTAGCTGCGTGCTAAATCCAATCAACCCAGATAGACTTCCGTAGTTTCCTACATTGCGCACCTCTGCCACAAAACAAATCAATTTTCTGGTCAATCACCCCACTACCCTCAGTCAAGAGAACTAGACATAACAATTCTTTGTTTTCACGGTAAGTTTGAATAAAATGTGAAAGTGCCCAAAATATTAGTTGCTAATTTACATGTACATGTAGTTTCAACCAAGCTGGATCTCCCTGTGTATTACGTTCCATTAAAATTTGATAAGTTGATAGATCAGTTGAAAGGCTAAACAAGCTCATTTATATCAATTAGATAATTCATGGTTTTGAATAGCATGGTTAATGGCACATGGTTTGTGTGTTATGTTTTTTATATGTTTTATATTATCAAACATTGCTTGTCGTACATGCATATATGCAGTGGATTTCAGTGAATTTGATATACTGGCATAATAAAGATTATGCATAATTGAGTCGTTAATAAGCACAGATTGCAACCCAAAACTAATCAAATATGTGCATTATTTCAGAGATGAAAATAATTTCATCTATCAATAAAATGAGTGTTAACTTAGATGATGGTTTATGGATGACTGACTTTGAAATATATCACCCAGACGAGACAGCGCCCTCTCATGCCAACAACTGGATATATGTATCACAATGCAGCGCATCTATCAATCAAATCAAATCAATAACCTATTGTATATCTGGATGGAATATCAAAACAAGTCATTGCAAATGATAAGTATCTGTTCAGTGTTTAGTAACTTGTCATCATTAGTGCCAAATAATCATTTGTGTGATTCCTTCCTTGTCTGTATTCTGCCCATGACATTCATAATACTTTTCTAGCACGAAAATGTTGAATCAGATTCTAAAACAGATGCGTGTGCAAATGTGTTACTCGATCTATGTGTAAAGTTTGAATATGCCCAGCTCTATTAGCAACATTCAGCATTCGTTGTGAACAGTCAGCCATTTTCAATTCGATCTGAAATAAATTATGTGCATTGACGACATATTTTTCAATGGACATACCAAGTTTGAAAGAAATATGTAAATGTATGACTGAAATCTGGTACCGAAATGGCATTGTCGTCATTTGTACATCTTGAATTTAATCATAAAACAAATGCATGTACATAATGTATGAGGTAATGTGATACGCGTGTGACGTATGAATGATATCAGCTCAGGTTTGTCTCGGATACAGGTGCACACGGACGAACGGAATTGACATTATAAGTTCCCGTTTATCTTTATATACAAACGCATGGTAACATGATAGTTCAGTGGCGATTCGCCAGTTTCATTCTCTTTAGGGATATACATAACCCTCTTTGTGGGCAGTGAATATCTGTCCAAAACGTAATACATTTCATTTACTGCAATGCTTTATACGCAAACGCATGGTAACATGATACCACAACAATCATTTTTGATCCGAATGCTTTCAGGAAAATTGAAACAATATGGCCTCTCTATTTGTAGACACACACACGCCAAATAAGTAGTAAAGTTCTGTGGATATAAGAGATTACAAAATTTTACCTTTCACCTAGATAATTGAATTTCTAATCAGTGATCGAAAAAAATGCGGTCGTTTCAATTTTAAATAATTAAGATGTAGGCATATCCTATTGTATATCGTAACAAATTAGAGCTCAATTAACTTCATAAGAAGGAGATTCTTTTAAATTAGTATTAGTAATAAATAATAATAACATTAAGTAAGGAAAAGAGCGTAGTGTGTATATGTGTCAAATAAATCGTACTTTCGACTTTCATTATTGGCGATCCGCTCCGCTAGGATTGTCCTTAAAATCACTTGTGTGTGTGGGTGTGTCGACTGTCTGTGTGGATGATTTCCAGCGTTTTCACGTATTGATTCTTCTGTGATTTTTTTTGGCTTGGCCGATGTCACTCAAACTTGGCAGGTAGGTCACACCTTCACCCTAGTTATTAGGAAATATCTGAAAAAATATTTTGGCCCACCTTGCCATAGCAATAGCCAAAATGATTTTTGGATAGCTTCCCGCCGAATGTATCTCCTCCTACAAATTTAGGATAAAACACTTCAGACATAGCTCATTCCACTCAGCTTAAGTGTGGGCACAATGTTACTATTTGAATTTTTGATATCTTTTCTCATTACCGAGAAATTTGACCCCAAAGTTGGGGTAACTGTTCACCAGGAATTGCATTTTAACTCTTCTGTATTTTTTTGGGCTGGGCCGATTTGGTTCAAACTTGAAAGAAAAGTCACACCTTCACTCTAGTTAGGTTGTAAAATCTGAAAACAAATTTTGGCCCACAGTTTCCATGGCAACAGTAAAAAAACTGATTTTTTGAATACCTTGGCGCCAAATGTAAATCGCCCTATGAAATCTAGAATTAAAATGCACGGAGATAGCTCATTGTACTCAGCTTGAGTGTGGGCAAACATTCACTGTTTTTTTTTTATGTTGTTGGGGTAACTTTTCACCTGCAACGGCTTTTAACTTCTGTGTGATTGTTTTGACTTGGCTGATTTTGTTTATACTCACCACTGCCATGGCAGAAGCCAAAAACTGATTTTTGAATACTTTCGCCCCAAACTTATTACCTCCTACCAGTCTTGTAATAGCAGTGTTAAAATGATCATGCTTTTTATTTTGGCTACGTTGTGCACTGGTTTGGTATCACCGGCGCCTACATTGTTACACTGTATCAACGTAATCCCAACGCAACTTTGAACGTTGAATTAGCTGTAAATGCTGCCTTCATTCTAGAAAACACTATCGCAAAACAGCAGAATACGTCCTAGTAATAAACTAAGTGACTTCTAAAGACTGAATAGTTTTTGCGAACTTCGTATACGGGGCCCATTTAGTTATAAACCGACGTTAGCTTCACGTTCATGTCCTACCATGGAAACAACAGAAAACATGTTGCTTGTTTTTGAGCGGAGCGGATCGCCAGCCAGCCTACCGGCTTGTTTAAATAATTTTCAGTGCAGAGTACTTTACTTTAATTATAAACCTATGAAAAAAAAAAACGAATTCAGAATACGTTCAGTGATAGCTTAAAGAATAAAAAAAATACGTATTTCGAGAGCAATATACTTCGTGTCGGCACAGTCCGTCGGATAGGTGTCGTAAACGTAAGCGATAGTGCGCCATCAATGGTGCGGATGTAGTCAGTGCTCTTCAAGGCAGATGCCACAGAAATGTGTTTTTTTCCTTAGTGTGGTAAATTGTTGAAATAATACTAATTTTTCATTGACCTCCGCTTCATCAATTGCAAAATACCGGTATTGTACCTAAATGGACCTAGATCGACCCATTAGAGCACGTTTGTTCCATTAAAGAGTGTGCCACTAGAAAGGGGTCTTATTGACCCAGTATGTGATCACGTGACCATTACTGCATGCACGATATAAGGGCGATGCAGTTCAGCGACTTTTCCAAAATGCCTCATGAACCAACTACTAACATCTCTGTACTTATATAATATAAGTAATACAATGAAATAATGACATTTCAATTACTTAATTTGCCATTAAATCTGCTCATTCCATTAAAGCCATGTCGCTCTTGAATCCCTTTCAGCCGTTATGATTTGAACGAATCTGTTCTAGTGAGGTTTTGTGATTGGGAGGGCAGTTGTATTTCTGCACATAGCAGAATGGGTAAAATATTGGCAGGAGGACGAGGATATTTGTGTGCGTTTGGGTGGATATTATTATCTATGTAGTTGGTAGATTACAATGAGCATCTAAACAACTCTAGAAATTCACTTGGGCACATGTATTTTTGTCAATATTTACGTACACTCACCGCATATCATGAAATATCTCAACGAGCAGGACATCCGGTCTCTTTATTTTCAAATTGTCACTTTCCGTCTGTGAGTGCAGAATATGTTTAAAAAAAACGTTCTGTGGTGGGAGGGGCTGCACGCACCACCTGCAGCGGGGGAGGGGAAGATGCAAATTAAAAGAGAGGGCAGATTTTAAATTAAATAGTGGGAGGAACATTTGTGGAAGGGGGTAGATAGAGGACACAACCAAACAGCTTTGGAGTATCCTAATTTTCGTTAATGACATTTTAAATTGATAGGAACAACTACACTATCTAATCTATTTTGAATGGAAATGTATAAAATCGCTCGTTGCCTGCTTCCGAGTACATTACGTCACTGTATTTACTTTATTTGACATGGGAGCTACAGAATATATGTAGTACAATGCATTTATATCGTTTTGAATATTCCAATTATTTAATTCGCCATTAGATCTTCTCATTCCTAGTTTGGTTTCGTCGGTATTTGAAATCATTGTTCGGCGATTAAGTTATCTAATTCGGCGTATTAAATATCCAGTCAATTACAGGTAGATATTACACAAACTATCAAGTACAATTTATTTAATATTTTTATAGTTCTCAATATCATGATTCCCCTGTAGTAATTGTTTGTTCCATTAAATCCATCTTAATTGTTCTACACGTAGCTATTCTTCTAAAAACGTATTAAATTAAATTCATTTTACATGTATCCCACGACAACGATTGGCAAGTGCCATTGTAATGTAGTTATGTTTTCAATATCCAAATTATGTTAATCCCCTAGTATGTGTCAATTTCATTCCACACAGTTTCTCGAATCGTTGAACATACAATCCCACTACTGTTTGTGCGCAGACAGTAGTAGTAGGTTAGTTGGTTAAGTAAGATGTATTCAAGATTTTTTTATTGTAGCGAGCTGATCTATCAGTGAATGACTTTAATTAATAATTATAGTAACAATGTACCTGACAGTATGCATAGTTAATTGTTAGAACCTGTATATAACCTCTCTAGCTTGGGAGTACATAAAATATCAATATAGACATTCTGTAAAATTTACTTTGCACGTATATCATTCCTCTGGTGTGAGGACATTTATAATGTCAATGTATTATCCATCGTTATTACCTGTATTTATAAAAAGTATAAATAGGTTAGAGTCAAAATATTGTTGATGCTGGAAGGAAAATATATTTAATAAATTAATGGAATACATAACGCCATAGTAATATTTAGTTTGAGTTTAATTGAGAATTGATTTCTGGACATATAGCACAAATTAAATGTTCACTTAAGGCTGCACTTCTATGAGAAATTATCTGTGACGGCTATACAATAGCATGTCACATATGGTAAATCACTGTATAGCATGTTATATATATTGGCTGGGTAGCGAGAAATTCACTTCATAATATAACTCTTATATTAGTCTTGAGATAGTTGGCTTTATTTTCCTTGAAGCGAGTTATATAGTAGATATTTGTTGTGCAGGATATCTACTTTAATATCTATAATTCAAATTATTTGTGCATATAATTTGTTATGGGATTTTACGTTTCATATATTTACTAAGTGTGAATAAAACTTTAAAGCGAACTTCAATCCGGCCTTAATTTAAAGTTGAGTATATTCTAACTATTGTATTGTGTATATTTTGTATTTGAAAAAAAAATGTGATTTTTTTTTTTTAATTATAACTGTATCTTGGTGTGGTATTGCCTACAATTAAAACACATGGAGGCCATTCAGGGTAAATAACGAACGAACACATTAAACATCCGCGTACTTTTACACCTCCCTACAAGATGTTATGGTCAGGTAAAATTTCCCCATGTTTTACTAGAGATATCAGTGTGGATGCAGTGCAATGAATTCTAAATCCTTGTTTCATAAATATTGAAAGTTGAAGGTGATAAAACAGTATACTGGTTTATTCACAAACAAACTTCAGCTAATAACATTGCATGGCGACTGTAAACATGTGCAACTTTACCTGTCTTTAAAGAAAACACATAGTGCATATTTCCACATTCTTATATTCACTAGGCGTAACTATGAGTTCCAAAAGACATGTGTATTTAATCGTGTGTTGCACAATGTGAAATATGGTCCACAGAATTGAATTATTATTGTACCATACATATATGGATGGTTGCAATCTATTTCATACCGAAATTGTCATCCAACAGTAAGGCCGTCGCTGATTGGCTGCTGAGCTGGAATGAAAATTGTTGGTTTCAAATCCTCCAGGAAAGTGTTCTGTGTTCTTCGTGTAATCAGGTGTTCGTATTCAAGAGATTTTTCCACACAAAAACGACGAATTAGGCCGAATTTTGTTATCGGTTGGCTTAATATTACCCCCAACGGATCGTATTTCTGTGAAAGATTGGCATTTTTGTCCTGATTTGTAAGAATCTGAAAAACGCGTTTCACAACTTGTCTCTTATTTAGTTTTATGCCGCATTCAAGATGGCGACCCCCGTATAGTAAATATCGCATTCATTTTATTATCATTTGTGCGCCAGCTGACTGTGACTGGAATGTCTCTTGAACCAATCATGTGATCATTCGAACATTCGTTATTTGCATAAATACACTTTATTTACATAAAATGTCCGTCATAATAATATACTATTGATTTCTCTCCAAGATTGTTTTTGTTTAAAAGTTAAAATATCTTTTTTCAATGTACTGGAAAGTTCTGCTGTTACTTGTGTGTTCAATTTTCGTGTTCATATAGATCTAAAATAGTGGCCATAACTGCATATGTAAGCAATATGTAAATTGACAGCTCTTTACTCCCGGTCAAGATAACAACAGATACCATGTTCGATAAATTAAAATACTTGCATTTCATGCATGCAGTCGTTGAGCGTTCTATTCGAAGACAGATGTTGCCATGACGATAATACATATTGCCACACACCATTCCATTTAGTGTCACACTGTATATAATGGTCGCTCAATGGTCGCTCGGTTCACTGCAGAATATGAATCCATTGCTGACAATGTAAAGTTGGGAGAATTAGAAACTACGAAATCCACAAAAGCGACTTTTAAACGTAATATTGGTGAACACTGAAACAATCGGCATATAGTAAGAACATTCAGATTGATCGTATTTCAAACTGTGATCACAAAAATAATTTGTCTGTAACTAGATGTTGACGTTAAAATTTCAAAATGTGTGCAATGACCCATCTGACGCCCAGTAGGTGCAATATGCACAAATATCACATTCTTATGTCACTGCTACTGTGTGGTACATTGTGATAACAACTTATAATAGTTCCATTTAAACACTGAGGTCCGACTTCTGGTGGTGTTGTGTATACGGATCACAATCTCAGAAGTACCTATGTATTGTTTGTTTAAACACTTAATGACCAGGATGTTCTCTTTAAAAAATACGTATGTAAACAGTTTGAATATTTTTGTCGAATAAAAGACACAATGTAACCACGCGTTCACTCCCCCATACTAACATTTCGCGCGAGTTGCTTCATGTCAGTATCGAAGGCGTCTTATACCCGAATAATTGAAAATCAAGTTCGTATTTTTTATATAAACGTAAAAGTAGTTCCTTTGGAATGGTGGAATAGTACTGTAAATAAGTCTCCTCAATTGAACTGTTAGTCACGTGAGTGTCGTATCCTGGAAACTTGACCACGTGACTAGCATTAATCCGTTGAAGAACATAAAGGGCGTCTTCTTGTAGTTCTTCGAACTTTCCAATGATATCGAAATTCCTGTTGCAAACATCGCACAGTTTGAACATCGGTCGCCAATGCATGTCCATGTGGGTAAATGTTGTCTTTGGATCCGCTAAGTATTCAACAAACTCGTGGAATGTCACATCAGAGCCCGTTTTCAGCGAAAACGGCGAAGGGTTCTTCCGATATTTTTTAACAATTGCTCTACCGTATATTTTCCGGTATATCGCGGTATCAACGACTTCCAGTTTATTTCTATACGCCGATAAAATCCTGTGAAATGGCTCTCTGACGAAAACAACTTTGGTGTACATTGATAACTTGAATTTCTCCTCCTGCCCATAGAGAGATACAAGCTTAGGGTAGTGGTATCTGTGCTGAACTTCTTTGTGGTACAGAGATTCGGTGGAGTTCGCATCACCTTGCAAGACAAGAAAAACGCGTTTCCAGCTGGTAGTGGCGACTTTTGGAACAGCGCAAAGCATAAATTTATACTCGTCATTATAAATTGGTAATCTGCCGCCATGTGGAAAGTATATGCCATTCTGTCTAGCTTTGGCACACCCTTCCTTTAATGTGGAAATTCTCTGTGCTTGAAGCTGTTCTACAGTAACGTTATTGTTATACAGTTGCCTCAACGGCAATACTTCATTTCTGTACGAGACGGCTTTTAGTAGATCGTGCTGTGAAGGGTCGACTTTTGGTAGAAACATTGACTCGGATCTGACAGACAGGTTTCCTGTGAAGCAAAAAAATCAGGTTAGTTATAGTTGAAAATAAAAATATGAAAATCCCAAAACTGGTTTCCGCTTCAAGTGTCTTGGCACACCAAGCGACATACCTACTTATGGTAGGTGTCTACTCGTGGTCTCAGCATTCTGATTGGCTCGTCATGTTCTTATACTTTGTCACGTTATTGCGTACCATCCATGGCGGAACAAAGCGGTGAATAACTGTTACCTAGGCCATATTTTTAATTTGCAAAAGTTGACTAGTGTAAAAAAAAAAACTAGTATAGGGTTCATTGAGCCAATCCACATCCCATTTTACAAGGATCGACTGTTGGTAGGCACCCTGAATCAGACACTGTCTCAGGTGACATTTTACAGTGTATTTCCAAATATTACCAGTTTTGTTCAATACACTATATTAGCCTTTGAATTAAGTGAGTTCAATGATCTGTGTGTCATTTTAGTGAATGCGTTCTTGCATACAGCTCATGTTAATATTTGCTGAGAAGATTAAGTTACGGAAATTCCCGTGAACTGAACTTGATGTTGGTTCATTCATGTTGTTCCAATGTTACTTTACAAGATCACAAACTTTGAACTTGGATCTCGGACTTTGTATGTGCTTCCTGATTGCATTCTGAAGATATAGTCAGGTAAATTTTTCAGAGTCGTTTTTCTGGATGTGTCTGTGATCTTATGGCTATAGATTGAAATCAGAGACTGTCTATAAAACGTCAACTTTAAGGTAGAAACCAACTCATAATTCCGGAGAAAATTGGTCATAAATCGCATGACAATGTTCATTGGTTTATTACGTACAATCATTGTACCATGTGATACAAGACATTGCTGCGCATTACAGTGACATCACTTCAGAAACATTTTAAAAATCGCTATTTTAAAACAATTCCATTTTTCAAAACTTTTTAAAACCCGGATATTTTTTAAACATTGAGGACCTGAATAAGTATCCCATCATTATCAATATATGTTTGTTCAGCCTATTTGACAAAGCCTACAATTTATTATATGGCTTACCATAAGGACCTATAGTAAATTATGCCAAACATTTATCTACTACTATCAACTAAATACAACAATCATTTTCTTGCAAATTAGGCAGGTGACCATGCATTTTTAAAGTTAATATACCTATATTGCCATGTAGTAAGTTCTATTTTAAAATCAATAAATTCTGTGTATTTTTATTTATGAGTCGGCCTCTGCGTTAACCTATTTCAAAATGAATAAATCGTGTGATTTCTGCATCATTATATCGACAAAAATGGATAAAAATTACATTTGCATTTGTCACAATAGTTAAAAATTAGTTTTCGTAAAAAGGCAAGAAAATAGGTAACGTGTTTGGTCTCGAATAAACATATTCATACTTTGTAAATATACAAGTATCTGCTCCATGTTACCTTTATTCCGTTAAAAAAAGTGGTTATGCACCGCGCACAGTAAGTTTGGACCAACGACGAATAAGGAATGCAATAACATGTTACATATACAGTCAGCCCTCCCCATGTACGACATTATTATGATATAAAGTAAGCTATACTCACTTGACGAGGTGCACAACCAAACGGTTGTAAAAAAAAGTACTCCTATTATAGCAATCATTGTATGTTTATTTGAAATCATTGCGGGTTTCTTGATGCTTTTCCTGACACCCATACATTCTGTGAATAAATATATATTAGTTAAATAGATTGAACAATTCTACTCGTAACGAAATGTGAATATACCTTATCTATACAAATGGACGCCGAGATCTCGTTGATTGCGAGAGTACAACGAGACTTGTAATTGTCCCTCAGATACTATTCGATTCTCATCCGCCATCGCGACCCACTGTTCCAAATAGATCAGTGGAACAGTGGTGCAATGAAGTGAGAGAACATTTTTCAATTGTCCGAATGGTAACAAGAGTATGCATTTTAATATGTAACAGGGGTCCCTGTGTATACACAATTTATCTATACAGCTCGGTTCTCTGGCTAATATGTAGCAGGAAGGTAGCAAGGGGTACAAGTTACAGGAAATAAAAAAAAGCATTTTACGTTTTACAGGAAATAAAATGAAAGTTCCATTTACAGTAAAAAATAGATTTTTACACTTTACAGATAACGAAAATTCCTAATTACATTTCTATAATATATTTGATGATTTTTGTTTAAGAATCAAGATTGGAAATTGCGTACGAATTACGACATTTAATGTGGAAACTGCTTTATATGCTTACAAAAAATAATTACAATTACAGACGAATAAAATAGCTGATTGAATTTTACACCTTGCCCATGTATACGAATTTACGTTTTTTATTTATTTAAATTACATTATTACGAACATAATAATTGAATTGAGTACAGCTTAAAATACCCCTCGCCGACTCTCTAGCAGGCAGTGCCTGGCAAGCGAGCGCACCGAGTAGTTTAATGACCCACTAAAAATAGAACTGACGTAACCATAGAACGCCAAAGCGAGTGAACTGCGAAATCGAGGTGTTAGTTCACGCGAGAAGTGAGCGGAATTCAAGATGGCGCCACCACGCACGATTCCGTGTGTGACCGCTGATCAAAATGGTCCGAAAAACTATTCAAAGTTTAACTATTTTCATTCCGTTGCCAGAAAACAAACTAGCGGTTTAGAGAATCTATATTTCAAAAATGTTGAGGGGGCGCACAACAAAAATAATTGGTAGTAACAATCCACGTCATAACAATAGAATTCCCTTCCTTTATACCTTTATGAAATGCACAGTATTAAATTAGGTCAATCTCATCAAATAAAGTTTTCAACAATCGTCTGTTCTTTAGAATCAGAATTTCGAATAAAATTGTTATTATAAATGAAATGAGTCGTCACCTGCGCATGCGTCAAATGGCCATAGCGTGTCATTGTTTACATACAAGCGTCTACCCATGACTCTTTGCGTTTTAGCGCGCGTTGTTATCGTCGCTTGGAACTCAATTCCCGCGCGTGCGCAGATGGCGACCCTCCTGCTTTAATCTTTTCTAAAAGATGTATCTCAAAGCGCACAGTCATCATGCAGCATATTTTACACGCGGTGTATACGTAGCATGGGACCCACGTCGAACACGAAGCAACGATAGTGACGATTAATTAATCAGAATAGTATTCAAGACGGTGTAAACCTCATGAGAACAGTTATAGTAACAACAACAGTAACAATACACGCTAAAAACGCAAATGCTCATGGCACGCTGTGGCCATCTGACGCACGCGCAGGTGGCGACTCCCCCGCTTTAACTAAAGTGTATTCACGGTTACTAACCGTGGTGTATTTCATTATGGAGGTATCAGTTTATATCTCCATGATTTCATCAACGTTCTCGAGAAACATGGACCAACGCCCAAGCGTGACTATTTCGATAAATTATAGGATTGTGAATTCAACGAAGCGAAAACATCTGAACGTGCTGTGTTGGAATACCTAAAGTGTCTTGCCTCATCATGACTCCGTGCTTGAACGATACTTGCTTGACGTCTTCGAAACAACAGCCTAATGAGCGACGTACCAATCGTACCCATTAAATGTAAGCAGTTTCACACGACCGCCGTGTTTATCACAGAAAACGGGGACACATAGAGTGTGACGTCGACTCTGGCACGGTTACTAAACTAACGATTTAGTAACCGTGTCTGTGGTGAGACTATGAACGGCTCTACTGTATCATTATACCCGGACATCAAGCTTATAACCGCGATTACACATCGCAGATCAGAGCAAAAAAAATGACCCTTAAGAATTGTCGTAACTATTTCCGGTTCAGGCTGCAACAGACTTGAAAAATGCGAGGCATTCGCTGAAGAAGTACACCCGGAACTACGCTCGCTGTGGCACCCACGGTGGCACCTGGCTATTAAGACATTATTTATCTCGGCGATCGGAAGTATAACCATAGACCCTCAACAAAGGGTTGAGGGTCTATGGTATAACGTAGTTGTATATTCAATGTGAGAAATCGTTGTAATGCTTTTAAATAACTTAGCAGTGACTGTACCAACCGTTTGAAAAACAAACACATCACTCACATGTCAGCGGCGATATGCGATCCTGGGACATAGCGCAGAAAAAGCTTCTTGAGAAACACTTCATCAAACAGATAAGGGGTTCAAGGGTCCTTATCTTAATATGTATTTCACTCACGTCCTAATTGATTGGGGACAGGCGCATTTTTGACCGAAAACCTTAAGCCTCGTAAATTTTAGTGGCGTTATTTGGTTGCCATGGCGAATGAATTGAGACTCAGGTGGCAATCAATGAACGTTGATTCACATGTGTGTTATCACGCAAGAATCATGAAACTACACTAGAAAGCAATTGGTTAGTATAGAAGAACGGAAACACATTTTGATATCACTAACCCTAAATTAGTATTTGATTTCAATCTTGCGTTCAATTCCAGTTTTCATTAGGGGGTATTTCCCCAGTTATTTGGGGCTGAAAATTAATAAATACTATTTTGGTTTAAATCTTCCGCTATACGCATATAAACAAGCAAATTGTGAAACATGGCACCTAGTAAATCGACACCTTGTCGGTTTCAAATGTCGATTTCTTACCTTAAAATGTGAAACAAAATGTTCAAAGGGGGTCGGGTGCTACGTTAATAACCATTGTTCATATTCGCTGACTTGGGTTTATTCAAAACTGCGTTTTCTGGTGATATCCGACGATTTCATGAACGAAAATGGCCAGCAGCCAGAATCAAGGGGGGTTCGCACAGAGTTCTGGGTAAATCAAGTGCGCATACTCATTTCCAGCCAATCGGGCGTGTCGCAACGGCGAGTATTTCCTTGATTCAAGTTTACCCCGAACTCTGTATTTATTAATTTTCAGCCTCAAGTGACTGTGGACAATTCCCCCATTCAAGCAGACGTGCAATGTTTGTTGAAATGTCTTTTCGTCTGTTAGTGTTACATTTACAGGTGTAAACTCTAGTTCATCCAGTAATGTTTTCTTCCTGAATTGTCTAGCTGTTATTTTAGTGTTCATAAATGAATGAATGAATGAATGAATGAATGAATGAATGAATGAATGAATGAATGAATGAATGAATGAATCGATGGATCGATGGATGAATATACATTTGCTCAGTGTGGACCAAGTTTCCAACACTACCACCCCTATAGTATATAATGATTGGTCCCTTTAAAATAACGCACA